CGGGGGGCCCAGCCGCTGAAACGGACTGCCAGCGGTGGATCCGGCGGCGGAGGGGTGTCCACCGGGTTGTACATGATCCCAGGAAGTCCGTCGGGGTCTGACGTCAGCGAGCAATATTCTAGTGAGCCATGTCCTCCGCCGTCGCACGTTTACAAGCCGACGGCGAGAGCTGGCGCGGTGGTTGTTCCGCCGATGGATGTGACGTCATCATCTTCGGCGTCCGGGGAACCGGGAACATCCCTTAGCTTGTCTCTCCTGTGGACCGACGGGAGCGAGAGTACGACGGTCCGAGTGACCGAGTCAACTCAGCTGCAGAAGACGATGACCCAGAAAACGAGCTCGAAAGATGGATTGACGGCGGAGTTTTTTCCGATGAGAAGGGAAGATGAGAGGACAAACGGGCTGTCGGGATTCATGGCGGTGGTGCAGGAGATGATACGAGCTGAGGTGAGGAGTTATATGGCGGATTTGCAGCGTGGGAATGGCGGCGGCGGCGGGTCGTGTAGCGTCGGTCGTGTTGGGTTTAAGGAGTTTATTCCAATAAATCAGATTGGGGTTGGGAAGATGGAGTAGAGAGAGAGAGAGAGGGAAATCTCATACGCTTCCCATCTGCTTGTTTCTCGGGAAAGTAATGTATAGCGGGCGAGAAAGCAAGATCGAAGCGATCGTTCGGAGAAGAGATGGGAATCGATACTCAGTGAATCAGAAGCTAAAATCTCATCTTAGAATTCCAATCTCGAGTGTATTTGCTAATCTTATATATACAGTTTATCAAATGAATTGTGATCTTGTTTAACTTTGCATCAATAAACCGATGAAATGGGACATAAAATGTTTGTCTATTTTAACATCAAATTGAATCAATTGGTCTGTTCTTGATCCTTGATATTAATTTGGATTTCGGCCATAATATCCGACTATCCGATTGTTATTGATCAAGATAACAATCGGATACAATCAAATGGACTGCGTATTACACATTCAAATTGATTTTAGATAATTAACAAAATGAATTATCCCTGCTTTCCCCCCATTTATCTGATCCACCACATCTCAATTTTTTTGGGGGAACCTGTACAAAATATTAAATGTAATTATTGGAAGTTGAGATTTTATACAATAAAATTTTTCAAATTAGTTGAATAGTAATATATGTAAATAATATGATTTTATTTTTATTTTATTATTGAATGTTATTGTATTTATATTAGATAATAATATAACAATTGTAAATTATTTTTTAATTATCAATAAAAGTTAACGTAAATCAATGAAAGTCAATAATTTAGAATTCTATTAGATAAACATTTTTACTATAAATATAATTGATATATATTTTATATTTATGAAGATTTTTGATGGTTTAATTTATTTGCTATATAATTTAATTAAATATCAATTTTTTATAATAAAAATATGGAGCCCTTTAATTTCGGGCCCTGCACTGGTTCCTCAGACGGCCCTGCCATCCGCTATACAAGTACCAAAAAAATAAAATATTTTCTTCTAATGACACTGGAAATAACTGATAAATTAAAAAAATTGACACTGGAAATAACTGATAAATTAAAAAAATCGAGTCACTTAACCGGAAATGGCAGAATTAACCGGAACAAGTACCGGTTTAATTTATGACATGGTCGGCTTGTCCTTGCCCGCCAGGACCAGGTTTGCCAGGTTGATGGCCTCCGCCGCGAGGGCTCGGACCAGACCTCTTGATCGAACCGAACGATAAACTATCAAAAAAACCGATCATAGGCTTCTCCTGCTCGGCCTCTCCGAGACCGAGCGGACGAGCCTCCACCATAACCGAACCGATCAACATGAGTAAGAGAATCGAACGGATAATGCTTTTCTATCATCTCGAGAGAGAAATATAATTAAAAGCTATATAATATTGGATTGGGAGAAATAATGTTAATGTTATTGATATGGATATTGTATGAAGTTGGGGAACTATATGAGTTGATATGTATAGCGTTGAGAAGGGTGGGCAACCAAAGTTTTAATGTTTCAAAACTAACTTCGTAAATTTTGAATTAAACAGCAAAAAAGGGAAAAAATCCAAAAAAATATCGAATATGCTATTTACACCAAAAAATCATCTACTTTAAAATTGTTATAAAAAATAATCAGCTATATAATTTAACAAAATTAACTTTGTAAAATTTTAATTCAACACAAAAAAGTAACAAATCCAAATACCAGATATCTACACCAAAAAAATAATTTACTTTAAAATTATTGTAAAACTAATCAACTATTAATTTAACAAAATTGACTTTGTAGATTTTTAGTTCAACAACAAAAAAAGGAACAAATCCAAAAAAATCAAATATCCTATTTAGACAAAAAAAACTTATACATTTCTTATAAAAACTCGTCAACTATTAATTTAACAAAATTGACTTTGTAAATTTTTAATTCAACAACAAAAAAGGAATAAATAAAAAAAACATCAAATAACATATTTATACCAAACTTCTACTTTAAATTTGTTACACAAACTTATTAGAGCAAAAAAAATCAATTGTTTAAAAAAATCTTTCAATTTTAAATTTATTATAAAAAATCATCAACTATTAGTTTTTAATAAAAAAAATATTGACTATCTAAATTACTCAAAAAACATTATACTTTAAAATTGTTATAGAAATTTATAATTTTTGAGAAAAAAACATCAAATATCTAATTTAACAAATTTTAATTTTACAAGTAAAAACTAATCAATTTATAAAACATGTAAAAAAATAACATTTTTTACTTTAGAATTATCTCTTATATATATATATATAATATACTATATAATATTTTAATTACTAAATATAAAAAAAATTATTGTTTGTTACATTTGAAATAATAATATATATATAAAAATTAAATAAAATATTTATAATCGATAAATTATACTTACTTTTCAATATAACATTTGTAACAAATTTGTTGATGTAGGTGTAAATAAATTTATAAATATCTCCTTCATTTAATTGCGTTGGAAAGGAGAGAGTTACTAGTTAATTAATTAATTAATTTCATTGGGAAGGGGAACAAATAATTGGGCTAATTGTTTGGAACTTTGGAGCGGACACAGACCAAAGACCCAAGCGTTTGACTTCCAACCTTCTTTCAAGTTTGTGTTACGAATCTCTCTCTCTCTCTCTCTCTCTCTCTCTCTCTCTCTCTCTCTCTCTCTCTTAACTTTCCGTTTTCTTTTATTTTTTTATTGTTGAATTTTATTTAAGTTAAATAACACGGTTTTATTAATTCCGCATTTCGAAGTTGAGATTTGACAACGCAGAGCGTTCGTTTTTATTCAAACTCACCTGTTTTTTTTTTATTAAAATTGTTTAAAAAATGTCTTCTGTATAATTATATTCATAAAATACCAATATTCTGCATGGAAAAGAATTATTTTCATATTGTTTTATTATCAGTAGGTTTTTTTAAAGAATTCTTCAATTCTACGGCCCACTATATTTACTAGGCATCAATTCTGTAGGCCCAAAAATTGATTGTCCAATAGTATAATATAAATAATTATTTTGCTTCCCTCAAATGGGGTTAAACTGAAATTATTTGTTTTAATTGATGTCAATTAAAACACTCGAATCTAAATATCTGAATTATCTTTTTCCTTAAAGATAAATTACATTGTTCAATTAAATAAATAATTATATGACGAAAAATGTTCCTTAATTTAAGGCAATCCGAGTTAAGACAGAAGGGGGCATAATGCAATTTTTACGCCCTATCTGTTGAATTCAAATAAAATATTATAAGCAAAAGTTACCTGGAATCAGGTCCCCTGTTTTATCTATCGTAGCATTTGGGACATTTAAAATTTAAATATTTTTTTTTTGTATGTTTGCCAAATGCATATGTCACGAACCCGAAAAAAAAATGTAACTAGTTGTAGTACACGGTCGTCCACTATCATGGAATCGAACAATTGGAAAATATAGACCAAATTATATATTATTAGGCTTACATATTTTCATATATTTTTTAATTTTGGTTAGATTAATTTATTTATAATAATATTAATAAAATATTAAGATAAAATCTCATAAAAATAAATCAATTTTTGAAAATTTCTTCGTATAGACGACGACGTTGTTAAAGCCCATCAAAGTTTATATATGAATTTTTTTTCTCCAATTAAAGTCCGTCAAGATCCTTATATAAAATTATTTTCGATTAAAGTTCGTTAGAATTTGTTAAAATCTGTGTATTCAATTTCAAAATTAGAGCTTTTTTTTTTACTCATTTCAACATTCAGTATATTTATTAATTTATCAAATTAAAGTTTATGTTTTCTTGAAACATTCTATAAAATTGATATATTTTATGTGATTGTTCCTAATATCAACAACATAGTTCTCCTCTAAACAAAGTTCCCAAAGATATTCCCATGGTCAATTTGTTCCTTATCAAAGTATTCTTGGAAGTGTGAAGTTAAATATTGCATTTTCATTCGCTCCTCGTACGTTATTCCTACGCATGAAATACACCCTCGTAGTGCGTACACGTACACGTATAGCTTACATATTCCGGATTATACTCTATGATTGATGCACTTGGATCTATTAATAAAAATTATTTATTAATCGTATGATTTTTACGTCTGCTTTAATATGAATTAGTTAAAACGATGTTATTCCGACCGTTTTATAAAAGTTTAATATAAAAATATATAATTTAATAGAGTTGGGTATTCGTTTGTCCCTTTGATAGATCAATATGTTAGTCTTCCGAAACATATGACCGGATTTTCGCTTCGTTGACAAGAAACTATAATATTAACCTAATTAGTATTCAGTTTGGATTCAATTTGAAAAAGGTTTGGTTTGATGTTATAAAAATATGTACCAATCGGTTATTATATTATATTCGGTTCGGTTTGGTTTCGGTTTCGATTCGAATCGATTCCAATTTTTATTTAAAAAAATAGATCTTTTATGAAATATTCGTTTTTTTTTTGTTTTTTGTTTTTAATTAGATTTGTTTCGTATTGATTCTGAAAAAATCGGTTTTCTATAAATAATATTGTTCGAAAATTTTGAACAGTTCGGATCAGGAAAAAACCGTATTTTTTGGTTTGATACGGCTCGATTTCGAAGAATCATACCCAAAACCTCCACCTCTAGTTTCAACCAATAATTTCCAATATGATTAGAATAATATTAAATACGTTAATTTGAAATAAAAAACTTGTGGGTCCAAAACATATATGCATTTTTCAAGCAAGAAAGCCCGAACACCGTCCTTTATAGCCAATTCGTCTTTGCACCATCGGCACCTTCTTCCGTTAAATATTATTCCCCGCGTTTTCACATGTAATCAAAACCCAACCTTTCATCGCATCCATTCCTTTTCCCCCCTATCCCTTTGAATATTTCTCCTCCATAATATATGAAACCTTCGCTCCACGTTTTTATTCTTCTCCAAATATCATCGTTTTTGATCAATATAGTTGCTTTTACCGAACCTTGAAATGCGTCCCTTTGGCCTTGCCTTCGCGATCATCTTCTTGGTTTCGGCTTTCGCGGAGTCTAGTCTCGTGGATTGCAGAGTTCTCTTAGGTTCTCCCTCGGGGAAAAACGATCAATCGAGAAGTTATGGGGTCGGATTTCGAAGAAAGAATCTGTCCGGGGTGGCTGCGAGAAGTGAGAAAAAGTCTAGGGGCTTGGCTTCTTCGGCCGCCGGGGAGAGGATGCATACAATGGCTTCGGGACCAAGCAGGAGAGGCGCTGGCCACTGAACCAACATTTTTTTAGGTCAAAGTTACATTCGCATTTTTCCATTTATTTATGCGATTAGTGATATAAGTATATGTAGTTATTCGGAACGTTAAAATCAATGTATATTATAGGAGAGGAATTCTTTCATTGTGTAACAGTCTTTTTTTTTTCCTTTTTTTTTGCTAACTATATATTGAAGTACCAATAATCAAAGAGTTCCTAATTTGACATACTTATTGTGATACTAAATTTGGATATTGCCATGAAAATATGTTGTACTAATCAATCTATATAACATTGTTTTTTTTACTCAAATTTGGGTGGCTTAATAGTAAAAAAATATGCAAATTATGTTTTTATCAGGATTTAAATCTAAACGTGGAAAGGATTATTTATCCGATTTTTTTTTAATTCTTGAATATATAGTTAGACTAAAGGTGAAGTGAATTTTTGGATTATAAAAAAAAAATTACAATTTTTTTCTCTATTACATGTAAGATTCAGGATTTTTGAAGCATTCAAAGGCGTTAACAGACAGAAACTCGAACCACTCGGTGTTTCGTGTCTTCGTTTTTTGTTAATCCCATGAGGCGGATAAATTGTCGAACGGTTTTTTTTTGGCCGTGGAGCGATGTTTTTCCGCAAACTCCGGAGCTAAATTCAAGGTCGGATTTTTTTTTTGTTTAAATTCCGAAAGATATTCTAACATATAAGTGTAGGTTAATTGTTAATCCTAATTAGGTAAACATAAAAAACATATATGATTACAATTGGGAATTTAAAACAGAATCGAAAACATAAATAACTCGTCATTGATGTTGTCATGATGTAAACTTGATTGAATTTGAGATCTTCTATTTTGTAAACAAATAGATATTTGTAAATGCGTGATCCTTTTAGATTTAGGGACCCAAATAAGTAATCTTTATATATATTTTTCATTATCATAGAAAAAAATACAGATTATTAAAGGTAGTTAAAAAAAACAATATTAACACATGAATATGGGAACACTTGATAAAACAACTTCCCAGACAATGGGAAGTTAAAACTTCCGACCATAAGAAGATATAAAGACAGATTCATCTCGCTTCAGAGATGTTCAGTTGGGAGAAAACTTGACTGTCGGACAAAACGGTCCCTCCTCCTCTGGAATCATCCAGCGATTGCCTCTGAACAAAGGAGCTGAATGATTCGCTGACACTCAGCAATTGCAGAGCCGCCACTCCACCGCCGCTGCCGGTGCCGGTGGCACCGCTATCCTCGTGCGGCTCCCTGTGAACAGTCAGCCTCTGAAGTTGCAGGGCATATTCTAAATCCCAAACCACATCCGCCATGCTCGTCCTCTCCCCGCTGTTATCCTTCAGACACTTCTCCGCAACTTCCAGGAACTTCCTCAACGAGTTCTGCTCTATCTGACCCCTCAATGTCGGATCCACGAGCTCTTCCACCTTCCCTTTCGACTTGCAGAACATTCCCCAGTCCCCTAAGTTCACTTCCTCGTGCGGAAGACTGCGGTCAATCGCCGGTCTCGCGCACAAGACCTCGAGCAGGACCACTCCGAACGAGTAGACGTCGGATTTCTCCGTCAGGATGTTAGTCTGGAAGTACTCAGGGTCTAGATATCCGAACGTTCCCTTGATGTTGGAGCTGAAATGGGTCTGAATCTGATCGGGCAATGTGAGTTTGGACAGGCCGAAGTCCGCGACTTTAGCCACAAGGTTCTCGTCTAAGAGTATGTTGGTGGATTTCACATCTCTGTGGATGATCGCTCCGGTCGCACCGCTGTGAAGATAGTGCAGACCTCTGGCTGCGCCAATGCAAATCTCCAGTCTTTGCTTCCACGTCAAGGAAGGAAGGTTCGAGCCGTACAGATGTTCCTTGAGCGTGCCCTTTTCCATGAACTCGTAGACAAGGATCATCTCCGAGTTCTCGTCGCAGTAACCGGTCAGGGAAACGAGATGGCGGTGTCGGATTTTGGACAGGACTTGGATCTCTGTCTGAAACTCCAACAGCCCTTGTCCCGAACCTTCCTGTGCTCTCTTGATTGCCACTTTCCTTCCGTCCCGAAGAACGCCTTTGTAGACATTGCCGAAACCGCCTTTCCCCACCAAAAACCTCTCGTCGAAATTGTTGGTAGCCGTCAGAATTTCCGCGAAGGCGATCTTTAAACCGAGGTTCAGATTGAGAAGTGGTGAATTGTTGACCCCATCAAGAACCCTAAAGTGAGAGCTCCCAGTCCCACCTCTGTATCCAGGCAGAGGAGACCAGACCGAAGCAGCTTCAACAACCGGCTTTTTCGATTTCTTGAGCTTTAGAAACAGCAGAAACAGCAAGATCAAGATCAAGACTGATCCACCGGCGACAGAACCGGCAATGACATAAACCCTTTTCCCCGAGCTTCTCGGAGTCGAAGAACCGGAAGAACCCGATAAACCCAGAATCTCCATTACCTGCAAACCGTTCAGAAAGCCATACGAATCGCCCTTATTGCGTATGCTAACATTCAGCATTCCCGAACCATCGGACACAACAACAGAATCATTGTAAAATGGAGCTGCTGTTTGCATCATTTTCAACGCAGGGTTTATCTCTAAACCCAACTCTCCGTTTACATACAGGAAAAAAGCGAAATCAGGGTCAAGTGATGGGTTAATTATGTCACAGAAATGAGCCCTGATGAAGTAATTAGCGTTTTTCTTCACCTGAAACGTCCAGGTGACATTCATCAAGACAGTAACACCCTCAGACCGGGTAAAGTTCATCACTTTAGCTGTCTGGTACACGTAATCTGGAGCAGTATACTCTGTCAATGTACCTTGGTAGCTTGGTTTTCCGGCGTATGGCGGCGTAACGTTTCTCACGGTTCCTTTGTTGTAGAGAAAGTCATCGTCCGGTGACCAGTTTCGCCATAACGTGTCGTTGTCTGGTGTGAGCTTTTCACCGCCGACGTTTAATCTATAAACTGTGCGCAGATTCTTGTTGGAAGGTGACAGGGTTTGATCGGGGATGAAGTCTTCTGGAGCAGGAAACACTTCAATGGCGTTGACCAGAGCAAACGAAGACTTCTCAGGCTCAAAGGAGATTTCGAAAGCGACAGAGCCGATCGTGAGAAGAAACTCTTCGACATGAGGGTTCTCGGTGGAATTCTGAAGAGAGAAATTCTTCAACAGAGGATGTCCGAACGCGGAAACAGAGACACTGAAACGAGAGGCTAAAAGCTCTGGTCGAGAAGAGACAGCAGAGAAATGGAGGCGTACGATGTAGAAGCCGGAAGAGTCGAGTTTGAAGCTGTAAGAAGAGCGGCGTCTGAATGTCCTGACCGTCTGGTAGATCGGCGACGTGGCGGACGCCGATTGGTCGATGGCTTCACTGCCCTGCTTGGTGAAGGCGACGGAGTTTTCGCCGAAGAAGGTCCGGCGGCCGTAAGTGACGTTGGAATTCGACCCACAGTTGATGAAGAACTTGTCGGGAGGAGAATATGCAGAAGAAGAAAGGAGAAAACAGAGCAGAAACAGGGGAATCATGATGAAGGGCAGAGAAGTAAAATTTCCAGGATTTTCCATTAACTCTTTCTCGATGGAAAAATCTTGTGAGGAGATGAAGATGAAGATGAAGATGAATGAGATGATTAGAGTTGACTTGTAATATTTGCAACGCTGTTTAAGTCTTCGGCTCTGTTGTGTCATTCACTGGTTTTGTGAAAAATATCTATTGCTGTCTTAACTTGACTGGTTTTGTATCCGCATTGCTAGAAGGGAATCTTAAAAAAAAAAAAACACAAGTGGACCCACACATAGTATACGATATTTTTTTTTTTGGTGGACCCGAAATCCTTTAATGATAATTGAATGAGTTTGTATACTGAGTGGTGCAAATTGGGAATATGGATGGTCTTGAGGTTATGTCAACAGACGTTAGCCTTCTTCTAGGTAAACAAAATTAAATGTTGTACTAGTTTTTGCAAGTTAATTTTATGAATTCGGCTTTGAGTGTATTTCCCAAATGTAGATTGTAACTAACGAAAATTAAATTTTCAGCTAATAACGAGAATTTGAAATTAATTAATTAATTTTATTTATTTTCAAATGCAGCCCAGGCCCATTACAACTGGTACTTTTCTTTAGCAATAATCCACCTACCGGACTAGATATTTCATCTCTCTCTCTCTCTCGCTCTCTCTCTATAACAGGTGAAGAAGACGTGTGCGATTATGGCTGGGCAGTCGACGGCGACGACGAAGCCGAGTCGGAGCGACGAAGTACCCGACCCAGATCAGCAAATGGAAATCTCGAACCGGGTCAGATCTCAATTCGAATCCTTGGCCCCTAAACGACCCGCAAAGCCTAACCGGAGCGAAACCGATCCGACCGCGTCTTTCTGTGCTTCCGACAACAGCATCGACATCCCCGAGCTCGACAGGCTCCGATCTCTCCGTTCGCAGCCTCATGTTCGTTTGATAACTCAACCCTCAATTCTTCCCCCTTTTGTATCCTGTGAAGAAAAAAAAAGTGAAGTGGTGCTGTGTTTGTTTTGCTCGTTCAGGGTAAATTTATGGGCGAGGGGGATTGTTCAGAAGTGAAAGATGAGTTCGTGGAGACGGAGTATTACAAGAATTTAGCCGCCATTGATAAGCAGCATCATACGGTTCGATTTCTTCATAGTTTCCCCTTTAAAAAGCATCAATGTTTTAATATTTATTTACTATTTCCTTTTTATGGAAATAGACGGGAAGTGGGTTTATAAAAGTGGACAAGGAAGGAGGAGGAGAAATCAAAACTAGCGGCGGAGCTGAGATCGCCGGAGACGGAGACGCCTTCTCCGGCCGTCACGCGGCGGTTCTGAAAGGCAATCCGGCGACAAACGACTGGATTCCGGCCATGGAGGAGGATCCTCAGGTACCTTGAACCAATCCGGAGATGCATCTAAGTTTAATTCGAGATGAATTTAGCATTTTAATTTCGCATTGATCAGGTGTTCATGTCTTCCAAGCCGTCCCGGAGCGAGAGTTCGTGAGAAATCTGTGTGCCCTTTTTATTCGGTTCTTATTTCTATTTGTTTTATTGGAACGTGATAATTAAATAAATTATGAACAGTATTTGGATAAGACCGACTTTATATTATAAAATAATGTGTATGATTGAGGCATTTCACCATCCAATTTCAACCCGACAAGATTAAGCAAAGAAAATCAAATTAGGTATGACAGGTTTGGTTCATTTTAGTCCTTAATTCAGTTTAGTTATTCAAAAACTTATATTAAACCTATATTTTTCATCATTTGTATGCAACACATATATCCATATTATAGAATGATGGTGAGGCTATTCAATTTTTTTTTTATTTACACATTATTATCACTCTTTTCCATCCTTATATAGTATTATTACAAGCTTTCTTTTTAAGTATAAACACAACTCTTCATTACCAATACAACAGTCATACAACATAGAGATGCCATTCACTCAACATTGAGCAGCTCACGTGCCATGTCACGTGGTCTGCACGTGACAACAAGCGGGTCGGCCTTAGGCATGGTGAGCCCTTTCCCTTCGGTCATGTCGACAGGCACACCGCAACAGCTCTCCCATTCAAAGCACTGAACCATCGCACCCAGCACCAACCCAACAACCCGGTTAGCCAGAACCGACCCAGGACAAGCCCTTCTTCCCAGCCCGAACGGCATCATCTTACAGTCCCTCGCCTCTTTTCCCTCGAACCTCTCCGGCCTAAACGACTCCGGATCGTCCCCCACACACGAATCCCGGTGCACGGCCCATGCATTGACCAATACCATCGTGCCACGCGGGATTTCATACCCACCGACGGCACAATCGTCGGAGGAGAAATGAGGGACGAGTAGTGGAGCTGGAGGGTACAATCTCAATGTCTCCAACACAACGTTGTTCAGATAGTTCATGTCCGATAAATCCGATTCCTTTATCAAACGACCAGATCTTGTGTAAGAATCGATCTTACCTTTGATAGCCTCAAACACATTAGGATGATTCAGCAAATTACACATTGCCCATTCCACCGTCAATGCGGAAGAATCTGTACCTCCCGTAAGCATCATCTATACGTACCAAAAATTTTTTATAAAGTTACCAAGATTATCGTATATATTGATATATAACCCATGAAACAATGTGAATTGAAAAGCTTGTACGTACCAAAATAAGACCCTTGATGGTGATATCGGTATAGTATTGCGGGTCTTTATCTCGCAAATCGAGTAAATGGGCAATCATGGTATCCTTAAACTCCTCTAACGTTCCTCTCTTTGCTATATGTTCATCCAATAAACCTTGTAAGAACATATCCATCCTTTCTCCAACCCTTTTGGATCTCCGTACCAAGCTCTGATAATCGAACCACCGTAAAGCCGGTAGAAAATCCGCCGGGTTTGTTGCTCCGGCGAACTCGTAAGCCTCACCCACTAGTTCCCGGAACTCCGCCGCTTTTTGCACATCGCCGGCGTCTTCCTCACCATAGTATCTTTTTCCGGCCACCATTCTCGTTATCACGTTTAGGGTTAGGCCCATGAGCAATGGCCGCAGCTCCACCTGACAAATCAGTACGAGGATTTCACCGAGAAACCGCTGTATATGAAAATTATATTTCCCCTTATGGTAGCATCCCTAAAATCTGAAGAGCAGTTGCAATTATTGCAAAGATATTAATTTCTTAGTTTCGAATCATAAAGGGTCAGATCTTGGACCGACCTTAGCCTGGCGTTGACCGGGGAGCCCGTACAGCTCCCGCAGAAGCCTCTTGACTTCGTCTTGTCGGATCTCCATTGACCCGTTGAGGCGATTAGCCGAAAGGATCTCACCGGCGCAGACGCGGCGGAGGTTGCGCCAGTGGTCGCCGTAAGGAGCCGTGACCATGGCGGGGTAGTCGTAGGCGAGATACTTCCCCAGGACGAACCGTGGCCGGTTCGCAAGAACGACGTCGTTTTCCGCATTAAGGAAGCATTCCTCGGCGGCCGCGGCGGAGGAGACTACGACGGTGAGGCGGGAGCCGAGGCGGAGGGAGAAGACAGGGCCGACGGCGGCGGAGATGGACCGGAGGGTCCGGTGGAGCAGCGGCGGTCTCAGGAGATGGAGGTGACCGACCACCGGAAGAGAGAAGCCCGGCGACGGCGGGAGGATTTTTTCCTTTGACTTTTTTGGTCTGATTCTTGCTTGGAGAAAGATCTTTGTTACAAAAATAGCAAATAAAGCGGTAATCGAAATTACCAATATGGTTTCCATGGGTTTTTTTTTGGGAGTTCTTTCAAAAACTTTGGATTTAATCTCGCTGTTCCTTTTTATGATTAAAGACAAAAAACATGTTCAGCTTTTCTACAGATCTTGTATATAGCTCCTATAATTGACCCAATATTATTATATACCAAATTTCATTTTTTTCCCCCTTCTCTAGATCAAGTAAATCATCATAATAATTTCAGTCTATTGGTTATTGGATAATACATCAAGAACTCTCATGAACATAAAAGACATAACCCCTTATCAAACACGTGATACCTATAACACACTACTTGAGAAAACAAGAACATCATCAAACACTGCCGTCTAGAATTTTTCCGACAATGGCACGTGATCTGCACATGGCTTGCAACGGCGTCGCTTTGGGCATGGTTGCTCCTTTGCCTTCGGCCATATCCACTGGCTCTCCACCAATCCTCTCCCACTCGAAACACTGAACCAAAGAGCCCAGAGCCAGACTCACTAGCCGCTGAGCCAGTCCTGACCCTGGACACGCCCTTCGTCCCACCCCGAAAGCCATCAGCTTCTGTGCCTCCCCTTCCTTCTCGAACCTCTCCGGCTTAAAACTGGTTGGATCCTCCCACAGCTTTGGATCTCTGTGGATCGCCCACACGTTCACCAGTAAGATCGTGCCACGTGGCATGTCGTAGCCTGCTATCTTACAGTCTTGCGACGACCTGTGAGGAAGCAGCATTGGAAGTGTTGGATAGAGTCTCAATGTTTCGTGTATTACGTTTTGGAGATACGGTAGGTTTGAGATGTCGTGTTCATCCATTAGCCGGTCCGACCCGACTTTTTCATCGATTTCGGCTCTTGCCTTTCGCAATATCTCTGGATGATTCAACAAGTTCGACAATGCCCATTCCAATGTCACGGCCGATGTATCTGTCCCAGCCAGTATCATAGCCTGCACCAATGAACGAGAACTATGGGAAGTTAAACATCATCGCCTTAATCCCAAGTTGTGGGAAGTTAAACATAATCAGGAAAAAGCTTTCGCTAAAATGAAATGTGAAGGATGATCCAATCATTTGAGTTCATTTCATTTCCTAAGAACTTACGAGAATAATTCCTTTGATGGTTTGATCAGCGTAGTAATCGGGTTGGGATTCTTGGAGAGAAAGCAAGTGATTGATCATGGTGTTACCCTTTTCCTTCTCCTTCTCCCCACGTTTCTGGTCGACCAACCCTTGCAAGAACTCGTCGATCCGACCCGCCAGCTTCTTGACCCGTTTCTCGTAATCGGTGACCCAACGCATAACCGGTAAATAGTCGGCGGCGTTTCCGGCGCCGGCGCTTCCGACAACCTCGGCGACCAGCTGCCTCACGTGTTCGGCCTCATCGTTGTCCTCTACGCCGCCGCCGTAGTAACGTTTTCCAGTCATCATTCTGATGATATTGTTGAAGGTTAAGTCCATAAACATGGATTTCATCTCCACCTTTGCAAATTCCTGGTAATGATCGCCGGGGCAGTGAGAAAAAATGACCAAAAGCAAGTCTACATCTATTCTACATGTTCTGTTTTTGAATTGTTTCTAAATGATTGTACAATACATATATACATATATATATATATATATATATATATGTATATGTATATATACCCTGATGAGCATTTCGTAGTAGTAACGTTGACCATGATAATTACATCTTAATTACCAAAAAGATCATTCTTATAAGGAAAACAGAGTATTATGTTTATTATTTACAGGAAATATAAAAATAATAATGATTTTACAGAACAGCCTTATTATATTAGTTATTATTCGTATAAAAATATTTAATACAGAAAAACTAGGTAAAGAATTCACTTACTTGTGAAGAATTGTGGGAGAGACGCAATATGAGCCGTCGGATCTCATCCTTACGGATATTCAAGAAGCTATTAAGCCGGTGGGAAGAGAGTATCTCGACGGCGCCGATGCGGCGGAGATTCCGCCAGTGATCGCCGTACGGCGCCGCGATCATGGTGGTGCAATCGTACGCCACGTGTTTGGCGACGATGAAATCGGGCCTGTTCGCTAACACGACGTCGTTCTTCGCGAAGCATTCCTCGGCGGCGATTGAATTGGAGGAGACGACGAAGACGAGGCGGTTGCCGAGGCGGAGGGAGAAGATCGGTGCTCCGCCTAGGGATTCGGACAGGGAGAAGAAATTGCGGTGGAGCGGCGGCTTCAGGAGGCGGAGGTGTCCGATCACCGGCAGCGATTTCGCCGGAGAGGGAGGCAGATTCAATTTCCGATTATTCCGTCTGAGGAGAAATCCGAGGGAGAAAACGAGGAAGAGGACGGAGAAAATAAGGGTTTGGGCTTCCATTTTCGTCCTTCTGTTTATGCGGCCAATTAGACCAGTGATGTTTGGAATTGTACAATATATACGATGGTCAATTGGGGACCCACCACTATTAATTAGGAAGACTAATTGAAAAATTGCCTTTCAAATAAAATGATAATTATTAATATTATACTAATTATAAAAAAAATTGCCATTTTTTTCTCTAATGCCATGTTTATGTTCTGCTTAATGTAGGATCAGCAAATACAGACATGTTTTATCTTTTAATTTTGAAAAGTCAAAGGAGGGCTTTGACGAAAGACATACACAGAGATCCAACTTATACTTTGGGCCATAAGATCAGGACAACTTATGAGCCCAAAAACAGAACCAAGTTAGCTACCACCACGCATAAGTTATGTCGCTAGCACGTGTTTTTATTTTATTTTATTTTTACATTATTCACGATAACACGAGAAATATTTTTATTTTATAAAAGACGACGTGTATAAGCCCTAATAGACATGCATGTCAGATGGCACCTTGGAGCAACTTACGAACAATGGCACGAGATTTGCATAAGACATGCAACGGTATCAATTTGGGCATTGCGACTCCATTGCCTTCGGCCATATCCACTGGTTCTTCCCCAATCCTCTCCCACTCGAAACACTGAATCAAAGACCCGAGAGCCAGGGTCACTAGCCGCTGAGCCAGTCCTGAACCAGGGCAAACCCTTCGTCCGATCCCAAACGGCATCAGCTTCTCGGCCTCTCCTTCCTTCTTGAACCTCTCCGGCTTAAAACGCGCCGGATCTTCCCATAGTCGAGGATCTCTATGTATCGCCCACATGTTCACCAATAACATCGTGCCACGTGGCATATCGTAGCCCGCTATATTACAATCTTCCGAAGACAGGTGAGGAATCAACATTGGTAGCCCCGGATGGAGACGAAACGTTTCATTCACGATGCTTTGGAGATAAGGCAGGTTAGAGATGTCCGGTTCGTCTATGAGCCGGTCCGGACCGATTTTGTTATCGATTTCGTCTCTCGCCTTCTTCAATATCACCGGATGGTTCACAAGGTTCGAGAGAGCCCATTCCACCGTCACTGCTGACGTGTCGGTCCCAGCCACCACCATAGCCTTGGATCATATATAAAGAAAAGAGTTACGACTCGTTGCAAAAGATAAGCAAATATATAAGATAAAACTATATAAAACACAAAGAAAGAGTTCAGAAACGAAGTTTTCCCACCAAACCCTATCCAACTATAATGACGTTTTCATTTTCTTGATACTCACAAGGATGAATCCTTTGATGATGCGATCAGTGTAGTATTCGGGTTCGGTTTCTTGCAGAGAAAGTAAGTGATCGATCATGGTACTACCCTTCTCCTTCTTCGCTCGTTTCTCGTCGATCAATTCCTGCCAGAACTTGTCGGACCGGGCAGCTAAGTTCTTGACCTGATTCTCGAAATTGGTGACCCATCGCAGGACTGGGAAATAGTCGGCCCGGTTTCCGGCGCTTGCTCCGGCAAGAATCTCGGAGATAATCTGTCTGACGCGCTTGACCTCCTCGTTGTCCTCGATGTCGTCGCCGTAGTAACGTTTTCCGGCCACCATCCTCATGATGTTGTTGATCGTCAAGTCGGCCAACTTAGATTTCATCTCCACCTTTGCAAATCCCTGTTTAGAATCGTTAAAAGTTTGAAACTAATTCACCCAAATGATATATATGATCAATTGAGATATGAAATGTATTATAATTATTTGACGATTATAAAAAGAATAAGTATAATTAAAATAGGATTTACACCCTTAAAGCTCGATGTTTTGTCCCTAGTTTTAAAAAACATTTTTTTGTCGGACTAAAAAAATCTTTATTACATGCAAGTGTTTCATGCAGATAAGTATATTATCAGCACAGGAAAACCCCTCACATGATCACCTCCCTCTAAGCTAAAATAAATATATTTTTAGACTATTTCACACGTAATAAAAAAAAAATACTAATTAAATTCATAATATTAGCAACATAAAAATCGTAATAAAGCGTAAAAAATATCTTTGTGATGTTGAAAATTGTTCCCTCTTTAAAATTAAATATGAGATTAGAAATTATTCAAGATTTTGCGACGAAATTATATCTTGAAATACCAAAAAAATAATTAGAAATCTAACTCTAAGAAGACAAAAAAAAGTATAATAATATTAGATGAAGTTGTGAAAAGTTGTTATTGGAAGTTGATCTTATAGATTATAGGTTCTATATAAGAATACAAGTGTTTAACTATACAAAATATATCTTAGAGAGATTAAAGTGATATGGAAATATTATAAAGAATCAAAGATATATAGAAAATATCCTCATAAAACATACATGCAAAGAGTTCTTGGAGAGACGCAATATGAGCCGTCGGATCTCATCCTTGCGAACGGACAAGAAGCCACTGAGCCTGTGAGAAGAGAAAATCTGTAACGCACCGATACGGCGGAGATTCCGCCAGTGGTCTCCGTACGAAGTTCCGATCATGGTCGTGTTCTCGTAGCCGACGTGTGTACTCAGTATGAATACCGGCCGATTCGCCAAAACGACGTCGTTCTTGGTGAAGCATTCCTCCACGATGGAAGCGGATGAGACGACGAAGACGAGGCGGTTGCCAAGTCGGAGGGAGAATATCGGAGCTCCGCCGAGGGATTCGGAGAGGCGGTGGAATGTGCGGTGGATCGGCGGTTTCAGGAGGCGGAGGTGTCCGATCACCGGAAGAGATCTCTCCGGCGACGGCGGTAGATTCAGGTTACGGTTGTTCCGCCGCCGGTGGAAGAATACTCCGGCGGAGAGGAAGAGAACGAGGAGAGAGAGAATGAGGTTTTGGGCTTGCATTGTGTTTTTGTGTGTGTCATCTACGGATGACATTGTGGGCGTTTAAATTGATTATAAATTATGATTTCGGTCCAAATAAAAATTTGCCAAAAATGTCTATGTCATATTTTGTTACAATCAGTTGGGTGATGTCTTTAATTCCCATTGCCACAAAAAAAAAAAAAAATTGTACTGAGGCTCCAAATTCTTGTCTAGAGGGGGGGGCCTCCCTCCTCCCCTCCATCTGGATGAAGTAATGTTTTGTAACATTGATAATCACGATACTTTATATATATATATATATATAAAGGTCAAACTTTATGTATTATTGTGAAAAATATGATTATCTGTAAAATAAATAATAATTTTTAATTTCACAAAAAATATATATTTTTACAAACTATAAATTTATGAATTTTTATTATTAATTTAAACATTTTTTTTGTAATTGTAACAGTTTAAGATTTTTCTAAATCGTTGTGTTTTTAAGTTTATGGATTTCAATAAAACTTAAGAAAATGATATCCACCAATTGAGACATAAATATAGACAAAAAAAAAATGGCTACATCTTACAGTTAGTTGGGTGACGTCTTTAATTTCCATTGACAAACAATGGAACTGATGGAGTAATATTTTTTTTTCTATGGCAATATCATAAGATAGAAGCGATATTTTTCATGACAATAACTAACAAAGGTTTAAACTTCATCTATTACGAAAATTATGATTATATGTTATGTAAAATGAGTAAAAAAACTTCTATGATTTTTTAAAAGTTTAAATTACGGTTTTTATATTAATTTATAATATATTTTTTTAAACTTTAATACTTTATGATTTTAAGACAACTTAAAAAAAATAATGCATACGAACTTCATAAATTTCAGGACTTGAACCGTTGAACGTGAGCATTAGCTTGTTATGAAAGTTTCCGTTATTCGTTATAAATGGGCTTGGCCCTTTAGTACACACGTTATATCAGCCCACTGTTATTCAAGTCCATCTTCCACCATGTTTTGATCCAATCCGCAAAATATCCAAAATACCTTTTTTTTAACTACTACACATACCATGATCATATACCGTGATCATATGACCAAAATAATTGTATAGTCACATGATGATCATATTGGTCACAACGTTAAATTTATGATGATTTCACCAAATGATTAGTGTGATATGTAAAGTGTGACCATAGTGATTTGGTGTGATCACCATAAATTTAACATCATGAATAATGTAATCATAATGTGGTCGAATGCTCGGATCCATGTTCCCAATTCGAAATAAAAAATTTGTATAAAAATAATAATGTATCAATTTTTTTATAATCTGGAAATTATCTTTGATCTAATTATATCTATCAAAACATCATAAAAATCCGGATAAGTATTTATCTTCACGCTTAGCTTTAAATCTAAAATAAAAGGATGATTTACATATTCTCTTACATTAATAATGTATAAGTTGATAATACATTAACTTTATTATAAATATGTGGACCTTCTAATTGTCCAATAAGATTAACTCCTTAATGATGAAGGAGTTACCTCTCCTTTCCTATAAATATGTAGTACACCTCCTTGTTAATGTTACACACAAAAACCTCATAAGGTTTACTCTCACTTCATCACTTCTCTCTCCATTCTCTCTCTCTTGTTATTATTATTGCTTTTACTATCATAATATTCATTTTATTTTCAACACGTTATCAGCACGAAATTCTGCTCGTATACATCTACAAAAATCATCCGAAAGGTAAAGTAATAAGGGTATAATCTCATATTCTTAATGATCCTTAATTTTGATATTGCTTTCAAATTTAATTTTGATTCTAATATTATTATTATCGAAATGGTTGGCTAAGCCGCCTAAAATATAAATTAATATGATATTAATGTTTATAAAATTATTATTATTATTACTGTGATGGTCGGCTATGCCGCCTAAAATATAAATATGATATGAATGTTTATATTTATTTCTTGTTAATTTTTATTACCGTGATGGTCGGCTATGCCGCCTAAACTATAAATATG